GGGTCAGGACACCCTGCCAGGCTTCTCCCAACAGCCCAAGTGTCACCTCAACCCAGTTTGGTGTCCTCTGCTCCGAGCACTGACACCCAAAATGTGCTTTAAACCCCTGCCCTCTTCACCCCGCTCTTCCCAGGGCATTGTCCGGGCTGAAGCAGAGTGGAAGCAGTCGRATGAAGGTGATATCACAAACCTCCTCATCCTCAGAGAGCACAGCTATGAGAGCTGATGGTGGAGAATGCTCTGAGAAGGGTCTGTCCCCATCTGTCCCCMTCACACACCCCCAAAGGGGTCAGGACAGCGCCGTGTCTGTCCCATGGGAAYGCTCCGAGCACGGCTGGAGCAGCTCCTGTCTCCCCACTCCATCCTTCCTGGGAGAGGCGAGGAGAGAAGGGATGTGACACTGGGAAGAGTCAGGTCAGTCCTATGGGAAGGGGAATTCCACTTCCCCTCGGCCTTAAACCAGAATAAAGTCCATGGAATAGCTTTCAAAGCAAAGTCTCTCCTGTAGTGTGACGTCAGTGCCCGCACAGGTACCGTCGTAGGTTTGCAGCAGGAAAAGGAAAAAAAAAACCAAAAAAAAAGAAAAAAAACACCCTTTCCCTCCCCCCCCCAAAAAAACATGGAAAAACTGGATCAGGGCTGCAGCTCGGGCTGGTCCTACCCTATCTGGATCTGCCCCGAGTACATGGTGAGCAGCACCATGATGGTGAAACCCGTGAGCAGCCCCGCGTTCTGGATGGCGAAGGTGATCAGGGCGCTGCCGTTCTGCTCGTCCTCCCGGCTCACYTCATTCATCTCTGGGAACTGGGGGGAAAAATTGGGATGGCAGGGCTCAGTCACACTCCCTTCCCCAGCAAACACCCACCAGCCTCCCACCTCAKGGGTTCCAGCCAGGCAAAGCAAAGCAGAGGGGACAGAGCAAACCCTGCCGTGCCTGCCTCGCCTCCAGGCTGAGGGCAAGCAGAGCTTTTTGTAGGAAAAAAACCCTGGGGCTCAGGATTTGGGGTTCAAGATTGGGCTCAGCATTTGGAGCTCAGGATTTAGGCTCAGGATTTGGGGTTCAGGGTTTGGGGTTCAGGATTTGGGCTCAGGATTTGGGGTTCAGGATTTGGAGTTCAAGATTGGGCTCAGGATTTGGGGGTCAGGATTTGGGGGTCAGGATGTGGCACTCAGGATTTGAGGCTTGGGATTTGGGGCTCACTATTTGGGGTTAAGGATTTGGCGCTCGCGATTTGGTGCTCAGGATTTGGGGTTAAGGATTTGAGGCTCAGGATTTAGGGCTCACGATTTGGGGCTCGGGATTTGGGGTTCACAATTTGGGGTTCACAATTTGGGGCTCAGGATTTACCATGTCAGCCAATGCTATGTACAGGAACATCCCTCCAGCCAGAGCGAAGATCCAGTTGGCAGAGAAGTGGCTGCCAGCCACGATGCCAAAGGCCAGGCCCACGTAGCAGCAGCAGGCRGAGATGAAGTTGAAGAAGAGCGCCTGGCGGATGGTCATGCCAGCATTGAGCAGGATCACAAARTCCCCTGTGGGAGAACAGGGCAGGAGGATGAGGAGGGAAGGGCTGTCAGCAGCATCAGGCACTGGTGTGAGTTTGAGGTCACAGAATCCTGGAATTCCTCAAAAGCACCCCCAAAAATCACATCATCACATCCTGCTGGCACTGGGCACTGACCATCCCAGAACCCCTAAATTTAGACCTTCACACCTAAACCCTCCTCTCTTTCACTGACCACTCCACTGCTCCTGAATTCGGACATTCACACCCAAACCCACCTTCCCCCTCCACTGCTCCTGAATTCGGACATTCACACCCAAACCTGCCTCTCTCCTCCCTCCACTGCTCCTGAATTTGGACATTCACACCCAAACCTGCCTCTCTCCTCCCTCCACTGCTCCTAAATTTGGACATTTACACCCAAAGCTGCCTCCCCCCACTGACCACAGCACTCTCCCTAAATTTGGACATTCACACCCAAATCTGCCTCCCCCCACTGACCACAGCACTTTCCCTAAATTTGGGTTTTCACACCCAAAGCTGCCTCCCCCCACTGACCACAGCACTGTCCCTAAATTTGGACATTTACACCCAAACATGCCTCCCCCCACTGACCACAGCACTGTCCCTAAATCCAGACGTTCACACCCAAACCCGCCTCCCCCCTCCCAAACCAACGAGGTGTCGAGGGTTTTTTTTTTTTGTCTTCAGATGCCTCCATCTAAATTTAAATCTCAGACATCATATTACCTCGTTATTTTTAGAGCGGCGATTACTCAGTGCCGTTTACAGCCCTCCCTTTCTCTCCCCTCAGCAGCATCACCGTTTATTCCACCCCAAAATTTCCTGGATGGAAAAAAAGGACCAGGGGAAGATCCAAGGAGTGCCATACCCAGCTCGTGTGGGAATTCCTCGCAGAGGATGGCCACSGAGGTGCTGATCCCTTGGAACACAGACACGGTGAAGGATGCACCAATGGCCAGGCCGTCGATAAAATTGTGGAGGCCGTCACTGAGCGTGATCATCCAGGCCAACGTCCCGATGTCGGAGTATCTCACCTCCTTCAGCCAGTAGCACGCGCTCTGCGAGGCCTGCAGGTCCTGCCACAGCACCCAAATGGGGTCACTGAGCCCTCCTCCAGCTGGGAAATCACCCCCTACTCATTTTACCCACTCATTAAACCCACTCATTTTACCCACTCATTAATCCCATTTGTTCCCACCACGCACGGCGGATTTGGGCTGCCCGATGTTTTTTTTTTGCTGTAATCCACAGGGTGAGGTGCTCACCTGGACAGAGAGGGAGCCCACCACRGCCTTCTCATCCCCGGAGGGGGGCTTGCACTCCAGCTCGTTGGTGATGTGTGGGATCATGTGGTCCAGGTCCCCGTTCTGCAGCTTCTCTGTCACCCCCTCCTCCCGGTCCTTCTTAGAGGGCAGAGCCTCGGGGCCGTAGTGGCTGTGCCCGTGGTGGTGCTGTGGGATCAGGGGATTTGGGGTGTCAGCCACTCCAATATTCCTGCTGTCTCCTACCCTGCCACCCCAATGTTCCTGCTGTTTCCCACCCCGATATTCCTGCTGTCTCCTACCCTGCCACACCAATATTCCTGCTGTTTCCCACCCCAATATTCCTGCTGTTTCCCACCCCAATATTCCTGCTGTTTCCCACCCCAATATTCCTGCTGTCTCCTACCCGGCCACCCCAATATTCCTGCTGTTCCCCATCCCCATATTCCTGCTGTTTCCCACCCCACCATCCCGATATTCCTGCTGTTCCCCACCCCAATATTCCTGCTCTCACCTCACCATCCCGATATTCCTGCTGTTTCCCACCCCAATATTCCTGCTGTTCCCCACCCCAATATTCCTGCTGTTCCCCACCCCAATATTCCTGCTGTTCCCCACCCCAATATTCCTGCTGTTCCCCATCCCAATATTCCTGCTGTTCCCCACCCCAATATTCCTGCTGTTCCCCATCCCAATATTCCTGCTGTTCCCCACCCCAATGTTCCTGCTGTTCCCCATCCCAATATTCCTGCTGTTCCCCATCCCAATATTCCTGCTGTTCCCCATCCCAATATTCCTGCTGTTTCCCACCCTGCCATCCCCTGCTCATCCTCACCTGATCCTTCTGCTTCAGGAGCATCTTCAGGATCTTCTCTGTGAAGAAGAAGAGGTAGAAGCCCCCGAACACCACGGCRGATTTGGAAACGTAATAATCTTCCTGAGGGTTGAAGCCAAACGCCTGCGGGCAGGAGGGGACACGGGAGAGGATGAGGAGCAGCCCCTGGCAATGCTCTTCATCTGCCTTTGTCCCTGGGGTGACACTGGAGGGGTGACACAGCTTTGAGCTCTCTCTGAGRAGCAGCTGCTTTGGGGCCAAACTCAGAAAACGCCTCTGTGCACCTTTAATCTCCCTCATTCCCTCATCCGAGCCGGCTGTGCCCAAAAAATTGAATCCAGCACCTGCAGTGGGGCAGGGGTGCCAAAACTCTGCATGGAGAACCTGCCTCCAGGGCTAGAAAAAGCCAGAAAAGGCAATAAAACAATGATTTTCTACTTGAAGCAGAGGGGGGATCTCCCTGGAGTGATTTTTCTCCAAACTCCAGCTCCGAGGGGCTTCCAGCCCTCCCTACCTCGCTCTGACGCCCAGAGAGACAGAGAAACATCCCCCGAGAGAGAGAGAAAAACACCAAACCGCCGGTCCTGTCCCTACCTCGGGAATGAGCTGGAAGAGGGCGTTGGAGTAGAGAGTTCCAATCGCCAGAGCTATGAAGTAGAGGAGCAGCCGCTTGTAAAATGTCTTCTTCATGAAGGGCACCACGCTGGCTCCAACCAGCGAGCACAGGGAGATGACGGAGACGCAGAGGAAACCGTAACCCCAGACTGGGAGAGCCAAACCCCACCCCGGGGAGACGATGGGGAGATGGGAAGGAGGGACGAGATCAACGTGGGGATGGTGAGCAGGGAAGGAATCCGCACCGACAGGACAGAGAGGAGGGAGGGAGGGAGAGAAGAGGACATTCATTAGTGATTGTCGTTCATCTGGCGCGGCCTCGAAAGGGCGAACCCGGCGCTGAGCGGCTTTGGGAATGGCTCTTTGGGAAAGTTTGGCTTTCCCAGCTGGGTTTTGGCAGCTAAAACAGGTCCAGCTCTGCTCTAGAAGCCATTCCCAAGCCACGGAGCACACGGATTCCCCCAGCACCTCGTGTGCTCCGTCCCCATCCCGCAGCCRGGATGCTCCGGGTGCTGGCGGGGCTGGAGCGCACCTTCAGCGTTTCAATTCCTGCCACATCAGGAATTAGAGGCGCTTGGTTTCTATGTCCAGCAGATAAAAATTGTAGTTCTGGAGCTGAAAAGGAGCTTTGGGAAAATATCCCACTGCCAGCATGGATGAGGCGTGCAAAACAGGCAATGCCAGGGGGGAAAACCCACTGGAATTTTAATGCTGGATGTGCAGGAGCTCAAATCCAGCTCATCCTCTGAGGAGACACCTGGATCACGTTCCAAATGTTTCCAGTCCAGGTGGATTTCTTCAGCTCCAGAACTGCGCAATTACAACACAATTAATTTGCGATATTTCTGTCGGTCCCATCAGAGCACCAGGAAACCTCACGGAAGGTGGAACCATCGTGGGGACATCGGGCTGGGATGGAGTGAGCAAAGAAATAAAGGCAATTCATGGCTTTGTACAAGTTGGTTGATTCTGGAGGAAGCCAATGCTTCTCCAGGCTATTCTCCATGCTTTTATAAGAATATTTCATCATATTTTCATAAATATTTTGCATTTTTTTCCCTCTGGCTTGTGCCAGMAGTGCTGCCACAAGCRTGAYTGAGCAGGATAAACCSCTGGACACACAGAGCAGTTTCTCCCAGCACATCCCCACTGCTCAAACCCAGCAGGGACAGAGGACACGCGGGGTTCCTGGTGCTCAGAGAGGTGAGAAAAGCCCTGCAGAGCCCCTTGAGCCAAGCCCTGAGCCTCGGGTGACGAGGGATCTGATCGATTCGGCGGGGTGGAGGCAGAGAGGGCRCCCGGGGAGCTGCCCCCGGAGACGGGAGAGAGGCAGGGACGTTCTACCGCACCTCTGGGATGAGCTGGAAGAGCGCGTTAGAGAGCAGCGTGCCGATGGAGAGAGCGATGAAAAACAGCAGCACCCGGCTGAAAAACRCCTTCTGGGAGCAGGGCACGATGAGGACTCCGAGCAGGGAGGCCACGTTAATCATGGACACACTGAGAAAACCAAAGCCCCACACTGCGGAACGAGAAGAAAYGAGGGCCAGACATTACCGAGGCTCTTGGAGAGCCTGGGCATTTGGGAAAGGATGGCTCCGGGGCTGTTCCCCGTGCTCCAGATGCTCCAGCTGCCACAAAATCGGTGTTTTTTGGTGGCAATGAAGTGCCAGGTTCCTTGGGAAAGGTTTTTCCTGGGCTGGCTCCAGTGTGGAAAAGCCGAGCTGTGCTCAGAGCTGATCCCAGACCTTGAGCAGCGCTGGGATCCGGATAAGCAGGAGCTGGYTGAGCATCCCGAGGGTCCCTCCAGGGGAAGGATCACCCCCTCCCACCCACGGGAACTCCCAGCRGAGCCCCCTCCTCATCCAGCTATCCCGGAGGCACGGAGGTTATCCCAGAAAAACCACAAAACACGGCACAATCCGCAGCGAGGAGAACTCAGGGAATTCCCAACAACAGGAACTGCTGTCCCACATGTCCCTGGATGCCTCACACCCCAAACTCCGTGTCCCCCTGAGCTCCCTGCTCACCTTCAGCCGAGCTGGGCCKGCTCTCCTCTGTCTGCTCATTCTCCTCATTTTCCAGGTTTTCGGAGGCGCACGCCCCCGACTCCAGCTGCTGCAGGATGGTGGGGCAGAACTCCTTGAACTCGCTGTGGCCCATGGTGGAGCCCTCGCTCAGGTTGTGGATGGCGAAAAGCTCCGTGGCGCTGAAGCACTGGGGGAGGGAAAGGGGCAGGAAYGTGCCTTGAGATCCCCACAGCTCCRCGGGGAGATTTTGGGAGTCTGCAGGGAGGTTTAGGGAGTCCACAGGGAGGTTTTGTGGGGTCAGAGGGAGGTTTGGGGGGTTCAGAGGGAGGTTTTGGGGATCCA